TGTATGAGCCCCTAATAAAATGTTAAAAAAAAAAAAAAAAAAAAAAGAAACAAAGCAAAACAAAAGCCAAACCATCTAGCAACCAGTCAATTGAGACTTAACTGTAACCTCATGTGGCCCAGAGTAGAACTATCCTCCAGGCTTGTAGAACTATCCTCCAGGTTTCGAGGCTATCATTTTGGAATAAATCACTAGGTCTTCCTTTTAAGGAACCTGTTGGTGGATTCTAACCGTCAATCCTTCGGTCAGTACATGAGGGCTTAACCCTTTGCATCAGGATCTCATAGAGGAATACCATTCAGATAATTTATTCCAGTTTTTAAGATTAGTTTGCACCTGTATGGATAAAAATCCCACATGCTCAGTCTGGAACCAAACCTTACTTGATGGGTTTTTCCCTTCCCCTCTTGGAGAGGCAATGCCTGGTGAGAATTCTCCCAAGGGCTCCTTTAACCTCATTGTTTCTCAGAGTGTAGATGAGTGGGTTGAGCAGTGGGGTGCCCAGGGTGTAGACCAGTGAAAGGAGTTGATCTTTCTTGGGGGAGTAGCTGGAGCTGGGTCGCAGGTACATGAAGGCGCAGCAGCCGTACTGCAGCAGGACCACAGTGAGGTGGGAGGAGCAGGTGGAGCAGGCTCGGCTGCGGCCAGCTGCTGAGTGGATCTTGAGTACGGCGGACACTATGAAGGCATAGGAGGTAGCAATGAGGAAGAAAGGCACAGCAATAGCTAAGGTGGCTGCCACCAGCACGGAGTGCTCATGCAAGTGGCTGTTGGTGCAAACAAGCTGCATCACGGGGGGCACATCACAAAAGAAGTGCTTGATACCTCGAGCCTGGCAGAACGGCAGGAAGAAGATGAAGACCACCAGCTGAGTGGACAGGAAGAAACCAATGACCACAGAGGCCACAATCAAGCGTCCACAGAGAGTCCACGTCATGATGAGAGGGTACTGCAAGGGGTGGCAAATGGCAACATACCGGTCATAGGCCATAGCAGCCAAAAGGAAGCAATCAGCACTGCCAAGTCCAACGAAGAACACCATCTGAGTGGCACAGCCCAGGAAGGTGATGGTTTTCTGTGTCTTTATGGAGTTTGACAACATATGGGGCACAACTACAGTCGTGTAGCATATTTCTACCCCTGAAAGGCTGCCCAGGAAATAGTACATGGGTGTATGTAGGCGAGCATCTGACCGGAGGGCCAACACAATGAGGACATTCCCAACGATGATCAAAGCATAAACCAGGCTGAGTCCAAGGAAGGACAGGACCCGCAGTTCGGGACAGGATGGATAGGCCAAAAACACCAATTCCATCAACACTGAGTGGTTTTTCCAGGACATTGAGCTAATGGCTTTTTTTTCTGTGCAGAGTTACAAAGACAGAAGGGAGAATCAGACCAACAATACATTACTATATACCCTGAGTCATTAATCGAATAAGTCAGAAACTAGAAATATCAGAACTAGTTGTCCCTCCCATCCCCACTTTACAAAGCCTTCTGCCTAAAAATGTATAACTCAATTCATAGCTTCAAAGAGGAAGGCCAACCTACACAGAAATTGTTTGAGGAAAAGAGCACTAGTGGAATTCAGGAGTCATTTTCAAAAGAAACGGAATGAAAATGAAATGATCTCAGTAATTTCTCCAGAAATTGTTACGGATTTGGGGGAACAAAGGTCAAGACAGTGAGGACAGGATCCATTTGTTTCTTTATTCACCCTCACTGGCCCTGCCGGCATTGCTTTGGAGATATGTCAGTGTAATTCTCTAATTCTCATGGCATGGTGGAGAAGATAGGTAACATGATTATAATCCAAGGTAGATGGGATCACAAGAAATGTATAAATAAGCTAATAGACTTTTAAAGAGAGGATGGCTTTTCAATTTGGGGAACTAAGCACGACTCCATGGAAGAGAAACCATGGGATAGTAAGCCCATTTAAGAGCAAGGAGCCTTGTTGGAAAACAATTTTAAAGCTACATTCAAAGCATGGAATGTAGGACCAAATAGGGGTCCATAGGATCGGAGTGCAAGGTGTTAGCATAAAGCAGTAGGAAGAAGAGGGTGCAATGAAATTACAGTGCGTTGAATGCCAAGTTCAAAAGGTAGGCTCTCCTTGTCTGGTGAGAGTAACAATGATGGCATGTCTCCTTCAGGTTGTGCTTAAAAAAAAAATCAGCGACAAGATTTGAAGGCAACATTAACAAACCTATTAGCATGAGGAAATGAAACAGAAGAAGGCTCAACAGGACAAAGGGCTGACAAAACTTTGAGCTTAGCACTATTAGGGGTAAACCTCAGTATCCCAAGCCCTGCCCACTTGTGGTCTGACTGCTCAACCAGGAACAGTGTCGCACTGGAAGGAAACAGGGCCTTTCTTTGTGGAGAGAAAGGCAGCTATGTGACCATAAGGTGTCAGCGCATAAGAACGCTTCCTATAACTTTGGAAGGTGGATGTGAAAGGCCGAGCCGGTTTCTGTTCCCTGCTTCTCTTCCCTCTTAAGGAGGCAAAGTGAAACCTGGGCAAAGCCATAAAGCTTCCATCTAACCTTGTCTGATGAACAGACATAACTTGCAAAGTCAGGCTTTCTCTGAGAAGGGACGTTTTTGATTCACAAGCCCATGTTCACAAAACTCAATTAGGGAGTAGGAGATGGGAGAGGATTATTTACAAGGACAATACCCCAGACTTGCTTCCCCTCTTCAGACCTTCTCATGGGCAACCATTCAATGTCCCTTCTCAGGCAAACTCATATCCAAATGAGTTAGGAAGAGGTAATATACGTCTTTGTTTCAATTTGTCCAGTTTTAAAAATTGCTGCTATTCAATGTGGTTTTTTAAGACAAATCTCAATCCAGGACACCACTTCTAATATAAATATTTCACATCCACCTACCCGATGTGACAAGCATAGGGAGAATGTGGTTAGGGGCTACCGACACAAGAAAGACATGTACGACACGGGTGATTCTGCTGGTTTTCCAACTGCAAACAAATGCTGTCTATTTCATTCATACTCGTCTTTTCCTCTCAATTTTGTTAATGTGTGGAATTAGTTCTAATGCCACTTAGCATTTTCCCCATTTTACTATAGCTTGGGGGGAATGAAAAGGAGTATAATGTTAGCATATAAGTACACACTTTGAAATTAAATAGTATGATTTGAATCTCATCTCCTGGTTGTAATGTCAGGCAATATATATTTTGTTGAAGGCATGGGTTCCTCATTTGAATAATGAAAGAAAATCCTATTGCGTTTATAAGATTGTTATGAGATTTCAAACCTAATGAGAGCCTAATGCCAAGAAGCCTGGGTAGCACAAGTGGTTTGCAATCAGTCATTAACCCAATTGTTGGTGGCTAATCGCACCCAGGGCTTTTGTGACAGAAAGGACTACTGATTTGCTTCTGAAAAGATTATAGACAAGAAAACCCTATGGGAAAATTATATTCTGTAACATGTGGGCTTGGGGGTCAATTTGATGGTGGTGGGGCTAACTCAGGGTACCTAACAACAACAGAAATGTAAAGTACCCAGTCACAACGCCTAGGCTTTTGTAATAATAATAAAAAAAACCCAAACCAAATTCATTACCATCAAGTTGATTCTAACTCACAGGGACCATACAGGACAAAGTACAGTTGCCCCACAGGGCTTGCAATCTGTAACTATCACATTGCCACATCTTTCTGCTGAAGAGTTGCTGGTTGGTTCGAACCACCAACTTTCTGGTTGGCAGGCACTGCTTAACCACTGTGTGCCCTGGGCTCCTTTGGTTCAATACTAATAGGGGAGTAAATGACGATCATGGTTATAATAATAGTTGTAAGGTCAAGGGGCGTTATAGGCCTCATTTCTGTTTTTTCCTTCCCCCTATCAGAGTCAATTCCCATCAATACCTGTAGGATAGAGGAGATCTGCTCCTTCGAGTTTTCAAGTCTGTAAATCTTTATGGGAGCAGACAGTCTCGCATTTCCCTTACAGAGTGGCTGGTGGGTTTGAAACTGTGGGTAGCACCCATTGAGTACCCCACTGGGTCAAGAGGGCACCTTAACACTAAACACAATGTTGTTCACGTTATAAGCATTCAATAGATACATGTTGAGTAGATAAATAGATTGTGGAAACAGATTGTGAAAAGGAAATCATTTCATTACATTTTTCCTTCACTATTAATACTATCTTATAATCAACTAATTTGTTGAAGAGTCCTTATAAAAATAATTTGGCATCCAACATTTGAGCTGCACTATGGTAAAAAATTGTATCATTCAAGGATACAGCAACATAGGCTACAACACATATCAAGAGGCAAATGTTCCCCAGATATTATGAGAGACAGCTTTGAAATCAGAACCCTACTGATGACTTCTAAAATATTTATTATACTCAGTCACATCCATATCATTTTAATGGTGCTCGTAGGCTCTATAATAAAATACCACCATCTGAGGGATCATCAGTCATGAATACTTAGATTTGAAAGGAGCTTGAGAATTTGCTTCAGTTCTTCATTGGTGCTTCAATCTCCATTACAGCAGCTGAACACCAGATCACTCCATCTCTGCTCACCTTCAATGCCGAGGGAAGCTCTTTACCACCTCCTGACTTGTTAGCCCCATTGTTGGAGGACACAGTTCTCTCAAAGTGCTTTCTTGTAGTTAGGTGAAACCTGTCACCCTTAACTTCTTCATGTTCATTCTGTTCTTCTCCCTAGGATCATTTCTATATGGAAATCTTTAAAAACCTATTGTGCTGTTAGCATGTAACGCTGCATATTCTTCCTGTTTTCTTTAACTATTCTTCTCATGACACAACTTTGATACTTTCCATTATTTTGGTTCTAAAACATTCTCATTTTAAATAGTGTCTATAAAAGTATGCTGCCCGGAACCAGTCATAGAGATATTGCATTAAAATATATGGATGTATCCATCTGGTAATGGACAGTCTATTTTTTCAATCTAATAAAAAGACATCAATTTGCTTGTCTTATTGGTTTTCTGAAACTTTGGTTTTTATCTTCTTGGATGTTAAGATTACTAGTCGTTTTTCTCCTGTCCAGAGAAGGAGAGCAATCTTCACAATTCCTTTAATGCTCTCTATCATGACTTTACTTCTTTGAAATTGAGATTAAATCTATAATATGCCACTTTATGTATTAGCTATTTTCTTAAAGTCGCATATTTATTTTGTATATATTGAGTGCCAAACACCACATACAACGATGAGCAAAATGTGCCCAAGTGAAATTTTATCCTAATGATAGAGACAAACCTTTAATTATAGAATCTGGTCAAATGTATATAGAATTTAAACTATGATTAAGTGCTTTAAAGGAAAGTAGGTATTTTTAAGTTTGAGTACAGTGCAACAAAGGGACCTAGCCTAGCAAGTGGGTAGGGGATTGTGAGGAGGCTTCCAGAAAATAATATCTGAGCTGAAGAATGAAGAATGAAAATCAGCTAAGGGAAGAGAGGCGGTCAGAGGAAGAGGGTGCATGTTCTGGAGAGATGGAACAATGCTTTTTATAGTTCTTAAAGTGTCAAATGTATTATAACATATCAACATACTTTTCCGAGTTGTTACTAAGTATGTTGCATGGAACTGAGGCAAGAAAAGGGCACTTCAGCATCAGCACTAGACATCTTCCACAGAATGCTACCAGATTATGAATCCACACTCATCTGAGGAGGTCCAAGCCATCTTCTAAACCAAATTGTCACCATCATTTTTACCTTTCCAGCCATACCAGTTCAAGTTGGATAGGATGTCATGAGAAACGTTTTTCATTTGCACTTAGGAAAAGCAGGTAGACTCAATAGGACAGTCCCATGATTCTCTAGTTCGCACTATGTAGACATGAGAGTTAATAGGTTTGGAATGAAACAGACCAGAGCTGTAATCCAAGTCCACTCGTAATAGCATTTTCCCTTGGACAGACCACATCAATTTTTATCTCCTCTTCTTTACAAGATGTAAGTAATGATATTCATCTAATGAATTTGTGATGAGAATAAATAAGATTAAAGCATTTAGAACACTTGGTGTCATCAACCGATTACATTGCATAATACATGTTAATTTTTTATTTTATTATAAAAAAACTATGACAGGGATGCTTTAAATAATACCTACTTCAGAGCAGAGGGAAATGAAGGCAGTATTTTATCAACTATCAGCCGTACATACAAATTTATGTTATTCATGAACACTTCTTTGACTGAGATTAGTTATCACCATTTTACTCAGACGAGGGGTTTACAGGTGGATTAAGAGAAAACACTGTAAATTGTGTGTTCACCTTGTTCTGAAATCCTGGGTTCTTAACTTGTAAAGTCATTATCACTTTTATAGACTAGTGTCAGTGAATCCCTGAAATGTAACATTATAAGTCCAGAAGGA